GGGGGGGCAGCATCCGGAAGAGGTGGCGACCTGGCTTATTCATTTACCATCTACACACTGGGGCATCTGCTGTGACCCCAGACGAGCTCGTGGGCGCACGGTAGGGGAAGGTGCGCAGGCCAGACTGGGAGAGCAGCTGTCCGGAATTTATGCCCGCTCTGCCAGGAGCTCGCACGTAGTAAGTGCTCAGTGAAATCGCTCAGGCTTCACGCTGCTCAGGAGGAGGGCTCAGGCTTTCCAGGGTAAACTCCTGCTCCGCGGGACCCTGGGCAGCACCGGCCCAGGTCTGTGGCTCCTCTCCCATCTGTCAGAGCGCAAACAAAACAGTCCTAACCTTAGCAGTGATCTCTGCTTGTACAGCAGTGCTCTGGGAGGCTGAGGCAGGAGGATCACAAGTTGGGTCCAGCCTGGGCAATTTATCAATTTAGGAGACTCTTGTCTCAAAATAAAAAATAAAAAGGGTTGTGGGGGTGGACCTCAGTGTGAAGGCCCTGGATTCAAACCCCAGTACAAGGGAAAAAATTCATACAAAATAAAATAAGAATTGTGGCCTTGTTAGGGAGGAAGGATTGAGGAGCTCGGAGAGTCATTGAGGGCTTCCCGTGAAACTGGGTTCCGTTCTATTGCACTGATTGGTTCAGTCAATCTGTAGTCTTTATTAAATACCTACTGTGTGCGGGACATTGCCGTCTGTTGGATGTGTTCAGTCAGCATATATTAGGTACCTACTGTGTGCCTGGTTCTCTAGATACGAGCCATGAACCTGGCAGAGCCGTCTCCCTCCCCTGGCCCAGAGAGGTACTCACCCCAGCAAGCAAGGGTGGCCCCTCCAGGAGCCTAAACCAGGTGCTCTACAGTAAAAGGGGGTCAGAGAGGGAGAACAGGGTGGGCATGTGGGGTGTGTGTGAGGTTGACCCAGATGCAGAGGTGGCGGCCAGCGGAGGAGGCTCAAGGCAGCGAAGGATTTCTGGGAAAGGGTGTGCCAGGCTGGGGGCACGGCAGGTGCAAAGGTCCTGGGGTGGGTAGTTCTGTGTTTAATTAGCAGAGTAAGGAGGAGGAAGAGGAGTCTTCCTGGACACAGCCGAGCGCCTCCCACCCCATCTCGGGCCAGGGCCCAGGGCTTCCTCTCCACATTATCTCCAGAGTCAGCCCCTCACCCTTCCTTGGGACTCTTCTGTGTCATCCCCTGCCTGAGCTAGCTCAGTCCCCTCCGCTGGTCCCTGCTCCTGATCATGACCTGTCCTCATACAGCAACCACCAGAGGGCGCCGTGAGCACCGAGTCCGGTTCTTCCCCTCCGCAGCTCTTCCGCCTCCCTGGGCCAAAGCCCCAGACCTCCTGCAGCACACAGGGCTCTGCGGGGCCGCCCTCCCTGCCTCCGCGCCTCCCTCTGCTGCCCCAAGGCTGTGCCCTCCACCTGGAATTCTTTGCCCTCAGATTTCCGCCTGCCTCGCTCCCTGCCCTCCTCTGCTGGCACTGGGCTGTTGGCTGCAGTCCTGTCTTGAGCCCAGTCTAACCCCAGGGCCTGGCTCATTTCCTTCGTGGCATTTTCATTCTCGAAATGATCTCGTGGTTGTTCTCTCGTTTCCTCTTGCTCTCCCTGGACGGGATCCCCGGCTGCGCGAGGGCGAGGGCGGAGGCAGAAGCTAGTTCCGCCTAGGCCGGGGCAGCCTTGGCAGACTGCGTGGGCACAGAGAGAAGGGGACTGGACCTCCCAGTCCGGGTTTCAAAAGAAGAAAAGAGCCGGGCGTGGTGGCGCACGCCTGTCATCCCAGCACTCGGGAGGCTGAGGCAGGAGGATCGCTGTGAGTTCGAGACCAGCCTGGGCTACACAGTGAGTTCCAGGTCAGTCTCAACTACAGAGTGAGACCCTGTCTCAAAAAAAAACAAAGAAAGGGCCGGGGATTTACCTCAGTGGTTTCACCGCCTTCCTCCCAAGCTCAAGGACCTGAGTTTGATCCCCGGTACAAAAAAAAAAAAGAAGAAAAGAGCTGGCACACACCTGTGATTCCAGCACCCCGGAGGCTGAGGCAGGAGGATCACAAGTGCAAACCCAGCCTGGGCAATTTAGTGAGCTCCTGACTCAGAATAAAGAGGGCTTGGGATGCGGCTCAGCGCGGAGGCTCTGGGTTCCATCACCGGTGCTGCGCAAGGAGACAGATATTTTTCACACACGCGCTGCAGCTGGCAGGGGCAGAGGCGCTCGTTTCTGCCCAGCGCTGCCCTCACCCTGGGATGACTGTGTCTTTCCAGGCGCCGGCGCCTCAGCCTCTCCCCCCTAATCCTGTCCGCTGAACATGGCCCAACTGTTTACTTTCCATGGGACTCGGGAATGCGCACCTTTACACAGAGCCTCCTCTGTTCCACCCTGGCAGAGAAGGCCACGCAGCCTCACTCTTACGCTGCTGCCAACAGCGGCCTCCATGAATCTGAATTGTGTTTTGTTTTTCCTTTTCCCCCTCCCCAGTACTGGGTATTAAACCCAGGGCCTTTTCACTGAGCTATGTATTCAGCCCTTATTATTTTTGATCTTGAGACAGGGTCTTGCTAAATTGCTAACTTGCCCAGACTGGGCTTGAACTTGTGATCCTCCTGCCTCAGCCTCCCAGATACTGGGCCACTGCGTCCACATGGTTTAAATTTTTACATTTTCAGCAGACCCACTGGGCCCAAGGGCAAGCTCATGACTCCAGTAAAGAGAAGAGGAGGGGCTGGGAGGGCTGGAAGGGAGCGGCATGCAGCGTCGGCACCCGGAAGTGGGGACCCAGGCAGGCAAGGACAGAGGGAGAGCTGAGGGGGCACCAGGCAGCTGTCTGGGTGACCTGACAATCAGCCGGTGAGTTGTCCAGTGGGGCAGGGAGGGGAGGGGAGATCGGGACGGAAGTGGTGAATGAGGAAAGCCCACCGCTAGGGCCACGGGTGACTGGCACCCGGAAGAAAAGCAAGGCGGGGACCAGTGGGGAGCGGGGTGCATCTGAGCAACATGAGTTGCTCAAAAAGAGCGGGGGATGGGGGTGGGATGTAGCTCAGTGTGAAAGCCCTGGGTTCCATCCCAAGTGTGAAAAAAAGAAAAAATTCTGATTAGACAAGGAGCTCTTTGTTTTATCAGTGAAGAGGTCATCTTTTGGTTTGGCCCAGGGGCTCCCCAGGGCACTGCACCCCGAGCTGGGCAATCTCTGTGGAGTCCTGGGCACTGCAGCCTCCATCTGCCTGTGCCAGGAGCCTCCGTGTGACCACCTCAGGCGTCCCAAATGGCCCAGTGACCTTGGTGTGAGCTGGCTTCAGGCTGCTGTCCCCGTGGCGGGTGCTAGGGCAGGGACAAGCAGCAGGGCTCAGTCTGGCCAGGCTGAGGGGTAGATAAAATATGTTGGTGCAGCCAGGCGTGGTGGCACACGCCGGTAATCCCAACACTCGGGAGGCTGAGGCAGGAGGATCACTGTGAGTTCGAGACCAGCCTGGGATACATAGTGAGTTCCAGGTCAGTCTCAACTACATAGTGAGACCCTGTCTCAAAAACAAAAATAAAACAAAAAAACATTGGTGCCCAGAATGGGCTGAGCAGGGGCTGGTTCCTGCCCTGGGGGATTGGTGGGCATTCTTGGGAAGAGGACCCCGGTCTCTGGACCCCGGTCTACTCAGGGGCAACACTGAAGGCCAGGCCCATCCGATATCCACTCACACCCCCCCCCAGCTCTTTGCCAGCTACCTGCGCTGTGTTCTGGCCTCCCGAAGTGTGCAGAAGGAACCCGGCCTCCACTATCAGGTGCCCACCGCCTGCTGGGAGTCAGGCAGTAAATGTGAAAGATTTGTTTGTTTGTTTTGAAACAGGGTCTCACTATGTAGTTGAGACTGACCTGGAACTCACTATGTAGCCCAGGCTGGTCTTGAACTCACAGGGATCCTCCTGCCTCAGCCTCCCGAGTGCTGGGATGACAGGCATGCACCACCACGCCTGGCTGAAAGATTTAACATGCAGGAAAAGTTCACATCTGGGATTTGGCTCAGTGGGGAGCCCTTGCCTAGCATGTGCAAAGGTCCTGGGTTCCATCTCAGCACACCCCCCCCATGCACACAAATACTCATTCAGTGGGAAAGTCTATGGTGGTGACAACTGACAAAGGGGACAGGGGAGAGGCAGGCAGGATCCAGGGTGGTTTTGGAGGCCTCTCTGAGACAGTGCCATTGCACCTGAGAATTGAATGATGAGGCTAAGCTCCCTAGGGAAGCCTAGGGACAGAACGCACCACCTGGAGGGGATGCAGAACCTAGTTTGGCATTTCAGAGAAATGCAGGGAAGACAGTCATTCCCGTGTGGCTGCCCAGTTAGACACAGAGCCAGTGTGCAGTGAGAGTTTGTTCGTCCTACTGATCTTGTTAGCTGCATGGGTTAGCAATGGCCAAGTAATAAATTTCCCCGGGACTTCTGGAGTGAAAAAATTTTTTTTTTTTTTTTTTTTTTTTTTTTTTTTTTTTTTTTTTTAGTACTGGGGCCTGAACCTGGAGCCTTCACAATGAGGTGCACCCCAGCTCTTTCTATTTTTTATTTTGAGACAGGGCCTCACTGTGGCTCAGGTTGACCTTGAACTCACTATGTAGCCCAGGCTGGCCTCAAACTTGCAGCGACCCTCCTGCCTCAGCCTCCCGAGTGCTGGGGTGACAGGTGTGCAGTGCCACCCCCGCCTTTGCTGCTGCATTGGTGGTAACTGGGTGCTCTCCTGTCTCCTGTAGGTCCCCCGGGTCGCCCTCCCACAGACCTGGGCGCAGTGATAAGTAGGGGCCGAGGGGCGAGCAGGAGGCTGCCATCTGGAACATGTCGCCACCAGCCCCAGCCTCTGCTGCCCACAGCCGCACCGTCCTGTGCCCATGGCCTGCCCTGGCCCGTCCTTGCCCGGCGCCTTTGACCTCCTAGCTGCCACTGGGCCGGATGAGCTGGTGGCCCTGCGGCACAAGCTGCAGACGGTGTACAGAGGCCGTCGTGGTGCCGACCTCCTGCACACCATGGTGCTGCTGCAGCTGGGCCGGGGCACCGAGGCCCGGATCTCGCTGGATGCCCTGAAGGCGGACACCGTGGCCCGGGCGGTGGCCCGCCAGTGGGCTGGTGTGGACAGTGCAGAGGACCCCGAG